AAGTGTCAAATTGTGAATCATATTTGCCCCATAACATTGAAAGTAATGGCCGCGATTAATCGAATCTTCGGTTTCATCGTGTCCGCGAGAAGCTAATTCTTGGGAACCCAAATAAATCGTAATATCGATAAGTCTTTTTAAATTCGACCGATTTTCCCTAACCTGCTTATTAAAAGAAATTATGGCCTCTTTTTGAGCTGTATCTAAAGCTGTTGCTATATTTTGTTTGCTAAACAATTTCAATTTACAAGACAAAAATATATGTTCCTGAGATTTAAAATGTCTTGTGTAGAACGAGGTAAATTTTTTAAATCGGAGTATCCTATTTTAGATCACGTTTGGTATTCGATTTGTACGGAAAATAAAACACAGGGCCAACAAAAAAAATTTTCTCGTACAATGGAGCCGGTTAACCAATCGCATTTATCGTACCAACTAATATTAAATCCTCGATTTTGTCGATTATCTGACGCTTTAATTGAAATCAAATTTGGTTGAGGCCTTCCCAGAGTTTTAATAATGTAAAATTTATTATCATAAGATAAAGACTTAAAATTATTTGTCAGCAACCAATCGACTATATCGTCAGATTTTTTAATTTCGTCCAAATTATCCATAGTAAACGGAAAAAAATAACTTATCAAAGAGTGGAAACCTAAAAACATCTTGAAATTGAAATAAAACACCATAAAAACACATTATAAATATTACCAAAAAGCACTGCTATAATACAATACTACCTGTTTTATACACAAATAACAAATATTATCAAGAAACACTAAAACGATTTACCGAAATATTTTTCAGTCCCGGTCCGTCCCGGCATCTCGTCCGAATAATTACATGAAAAACAAACGCAGTCGCACACTAACGGAGACCAACTGGAGGGTATCCGGTATCCTCCTCTAACGCTATGATTTCTGCAACTAAAATTACAAATCGGGACGTATGTTGCTCATTGGATTGGTCTCGTGGAGCCTGTGTTTTTTTAAACGGTCGGAGGCTTCACTCCCTTGCAACGTATGGTATTTATTATTTCGGTTGATGGTTTATTCGTTATTCGTTCATGGGCGGCACGTTCGAGTTTTGTTGATGCAGGATACAGTGTGGTACCTACTACGTAGTGAGTGATAGTGTTTTTTCGGGCATATTATGTATTTATATTGAAAATTAATGGTAAAGTAATAATGAATGATACCCAAGCATTTTTAGAAAAAATAATCATAATTATCTGTCAATATCTTTCAATTTATTGCGATGAATAGCCTCAAATTTTATGGGGAGGCTAAGCCTCCCTTGCCTCCTCTGACGAGCCGCCGCTGACTACTATATCATTATACAAGGATATGGAAAACTTATAAACAAAAGAAACAAGTGACTAATACTCTACAAAGATGCGCAGATGATGCACAGAAGTTTTTTTCCAGATACACACCACAAGTTTCGACTTCTGAGGGTTGTCGTTCGTAGGGATGCGACAGCTGGTTAACAGAAAAACATATTTCAAACAGATTTTAAACAGATATCCGTGCATATTGAAAAGTGTAACAGTTATTCCATTGCTAAGCCAGGATTCGCAAATTGATATGCTAGATCAAAAGACTGATCATATGTCAACAGTTTGCCATCATTCATAGAGGTTACCAAAGATCTTACTAGCTATTTTCAATGTTTTCATATTTATAGTATTCAACCAGAACCAAAGTGATAAAAACAAATATAAATTATGATTACTTACCGCAGATATTTCATATTCACAAAAAAAAGTAGAGATAAGTCCTCTTTTTCTTCCTCTTTCACATCATGAATCGTTTTTGCTTTTGTATAACTACTCATGTATCTCCAATTTATGATTGAAATTTTCCATCAGTTCGTCTTGATCTTGTAGTCTAAACAATAGTTGTTTATTGTTTTGTTTCAGACTTTCAATTTCTCTGCTGAACTTTTCAGTAATTTCCTCAGATATTGTTACCTTGATGCTATCAATAGATTCTTCGGAACTCCAAAGCTTAGTTACCAGGTTTTTGATAGTTGTCTGCAGTTCGTCTTTGCCCTTTCTATTTCTAACACTCATTATGAAAAAATGGATTTACTTACTGCAGGTTCTTCTACACCAACTGATTTGATAACGAGAGTAACTGAAGTATTGTCAATAGGCTTGTATTCACTGCAAAAACTATTTCTGCTGGTATTGCTGCAAATTTATTCTCATGCCGTACCGTGAAATACACGTCTACTCACTCAGACACATGAAAACAGTTTTTATATACTGATAAATAATTTCATGTTACTATATAGAAGACATATCTTATCTCTTCTGATCTTTTTCAAATAGGTAACACTGGAGTCAACAGTTTAATTCAATACGGAAAAAATGAACTCACTGGACAAGTTCATACTGGTTTTCAATCTGATTCAATCAGAAAAAAAGTCATTACTTGATTCACTACAATTTTTCATAACTGTCAGTATAAGTCAGTACATGTTTTACTACATTTCATGGAATTGAGTTTTGTCCATCTGCATAACAACTTTACTCCTTCCTATATGCGTCGTTTGCTTCAGAATATCCATGCACTGAACAAGTCGGTGACTCTTCAATAAAACTATGCCGTTTTCTAGCAAAACTTACATCGAATCAATCACAAAACTTTCCAACCGAAGTTGAAGTTCCTCAATTCGTCTGGTTTTTTGAATCGACAATATTCAGAGCTTAAAGCAGTTTAAAGACTGCACAGCAATAATGGTTTCCAACGTATCCATTATTTCAACTTGTGGAGATAATTGAATTTCGCTAGACTTCAGCCTATTGCTTCCGATACAATTTGCGACTTAAATGGATCAATCGAATCGAATCGAATCGATCCTTCGGTTATATAATGGATGTGAGGATTTGCCAGAGATTAGGTGGATAGCTTCGAATAAGATTTTCTGGTTATTCAGTTGAAGGCGATTTATTAGAGACGTTTCGAATGGAACGAAAATGAAGAAAGTAATTTCGTTCTAAAATCCTGAATCTGTTTTCTTCATCGACCCAAAATTCAGCTCTAGAAAATTTTCAAATGATTCTTGACTTTTTGAGCACAAAACAAAAGCGAACCACTAGTGGCGCTCAGAATGTGACTGTGAATATGGCCAATATAGGGTAATCCCGATGGAGATTTGTTTAAAATAGTCTGGCCCTAGTAACTTTAAAAATCTACTGTGAAGGAATTCGATTTTGATGAATTTCCATTTCAACCAAGGATATGCTATCAGTGAAAGTTTGATTGGAGAGTAGAATACCTTCGATATAACTATATTGAATGATCAGATCATCCTTTGCTTTGAAAACCAAAGTAACCTTCATTCGTTTTTTTTTCTGATCTATGTTAAAAAACACAACACAACACCCCATTAGGATGGGGATTGAAATTTGGGATGATGAAATTAATGCATGAATACTACATTTTGAAATGAAATTGACAGATGAAATTTTCAAGATGGCGACTGGGCGCCATCTGAAAAAAAAATTAAATAGAAAGTGGGGTCTTGTTACACACCATTTCGAAGCTCCTGACAAATGCTTCACAACCCTAGAATATGAAGTCAATATCTTCATCTACTACAAAATAGCGGAACATTTAATGATTTCAATTATACAAACACAGTAATATCGATATTTCTAGAAATATCTTTTCTTATCTGCCATATGGTAATTTCAACAACCCGATAAGGTTTGTTAAGTTATTTTTCGTTTATAAAAACGATAAAAAAATGTCAATACGACAATGAACATCATTGTTCAGTTAGAATATTCTTATTTAGTATTGGGTTTCCATCACTTTCACAATGGGGAAGGAAGTCCACAACGAATTTCCATTCTTAGTCGTATTAGTGAAGAGGACCGACACTAAATGTGAAACATCTATATATCGAAAACCAACTCACACAGAACAGTATCTGAACCAGGAATTCAACCACCATCAATCGACTAAGAGAGGAATCATCAAGACTCTTCTAGATCGTGCTTGTGAATGTGATGGTGAAACAGGCTTCAGCTAGAAGATAGCAAGAGCTCCATAAGAGCAAGAGCTCCACAAGGAAGAGAAGCCGCCACAATCACAACCCAAAGATTGGGTCCAAGTATAACAGAACCTACTTCAGATCTGAGAACACCATCCGTAGCAGCCTCACGATAATCTGGCCACCCAACGCGAACTGCGAGTCCAAGAATTGCATTTACTGGATACCCTGCGAGTGCGGAGAAACATACATCGATGGAACTAAGAGGTTATTGAAAGTTCGCATTGCCGAACACAAGATACACACACAGAGAGGAGAAACCCGTAAATCAGAAATAGCAGAGCATGTTAGAACTCATCAACATTACATCAAGTGGGACCAAGTTGAAATCATTCACAAGGAGGAACACTGGTTTGGGAAAAAAGAAAACACGATCAACTCCCGCCAAACGGTCAGCTCCCGCTAAAACCGATAAAGCGGAGAGAGGGAAGAGGGGATAGGTGAAAGCACTTGAATGACCTATAAATAGTCAGATATCGGAGGAATGAGTCTAGTTATCACCCAAAGACGATTGTGGATACTTACAATCGAAACGTCGTGAAGTAACTTGGTTTGGAATCTTTTTAATTTTTAATTTTTGAATTCTTGTTAATACTTTTATAATTTCATCTCATGTTAATAGTTCTTTTTTTGTATTTGTGGTTGTTTAATTGTAGTTTATTTCATTCTAAAATCCAGTTTTTTCCTTAATATAATTTTTATCTCTCAGCTAATCTCTGTTTCAATGTTTTTTCAGATTTTTTCAGGGATATGAGATCAATTTATATCATATTAGACGATTATCATTAGGTTTCAACTTCGACCCCTAACTAATTTTGACTGTGTTACTGATGAAAATATGTACTCGTCGGTGCAACCATATTGATAAAGAAATAAAAGTCATGAACACTTTCCGTTCCTCAAAATGTGTAAAAGAATCACTTTATAAATTTCAGTTGGAGAATCGAGTGGTCTGCGCTTGACAAGCATGAACGCCCCACCGGTAGCCGATCTACGTGATGGTATGGAACTTGACTGCCACTTCGACATGGGCACCGAAGATTTATATGCCGTCAAGTGGTATAAGGACGACCACGAGTTTTTCAGGTGAGATATTTTGAATTTAATTTTTTTTAGAACCAATAGGTTCACTTTTCAATATAACACTGAAAGAACTTTCCCGAAATTGCTTCAGAAAAAAAAAATTTCAAGGAGTTTCGTGAAATATCGGTTTAACTAACTACAACAAATTAAAATTTTCGTTTCGTTATGAAGTGAGTTTGATCGTGATATTAATCCCAATGTTGGAGAAGAATACGGTTAGAAACAGATATTCTTCAAAAAAGTTAATGAGATCCTAAAGATTACGGAACATGTCAAGAGAAACTGAAGGAATTTGCTGAGACCATATAAACCATATAAACCATATAAACCATATAAACATGTAGTAATATTCTAATTCTATATTCTAATACGTAACAGATACGAAGACGGTTAAATGAAAAAAAAAGTAACTGTCATCGGGAGCAATACACTGGCCGAAGAAATGGAACTGCATTATGACAATGTAATAATGAATATTCAATAAAACGTTTCTTGTCAACATAGCTACCATCAACTTTTTTTTTTAATACAGACCTGTCTGTTTCATTATATTATTACAGATATTGATAAAGCAATAAATTCACAATCCAAGAGTATATCGCATTTAATATTTTCAGCGCGTTTTATTTGAAATAAACAACATCATCAGTGACGACAATCAAACAGAAAATGTTATTGTGAACCTTTGGGAAAAATGAAACCAATACGGAAAATCAAAGCTAAATGGCATTCCAACATTGAATGCTGGAATTGACGATTTCTTTGATGGATTTCTGTGGCAATTTTCTAGCATAATAGGTGTAATACTGATACAGGTATCTCTTATTTTTTGTTTGAGATGGTCGATATCTGTACTTGCTGTTGAAAAAATTTTATCCTCTATGTATTCCCAGACAAAAAAATCTGAAAGAATGGTATCCGAGGATCGAGCTGGCCAATCAATTGGTCCATTGTTTCCATTGTCTTGGAAATATTGCGTCTAAATGTTTTCTTACTATTGCTGCATTATGGGGAGAAGCGCCGTCCTGTTGAAAATATTGTATTTCATGGCGGATATTCAGTGGCAATTCATCTAAGTAGCCATCCAAATTATTGAAAAAAAAAGATACATTTCACTATTCAGATGATCATTGTAAAAGAAAGGGCCAAAGATATTTGTTTGCACAATTCCCAACCAAACATTTATTCCGGATCATTTTTGAAAATTGCTTTCCCTATGTAAATGTTCATTTGTATTGTTTCACCTATAAAAGATATTTCTGTTAAACCCACCATTGTTGTTGAATTATGATTCGTCCGTCCATATTATTTTTTTACAAATATTTCCAACTTATTCCCTATTTCTACGTCTCAACCACTTCGCAAATCGTATTCTCCTTCCGTAATCCCTTTCATTAGGGTGATGAACTTTGCGTATCCTGTAGCATTTATATTTGTTCTATTTTTAAATAGTTCTGTTGGATTTTACAGAAATTATCATTTCGAGGGCAATTTCTTGTAAAGACGATCTTGATTAGCATAATTTTTGTACCTGGCCAATACTCAATGAGAAAAAAGATGTGTTTTCTGTCAAATGCACCATAGTCCCGCAAGTTTCTTTCTAAACATCTAAACATTTGGATGTTCGAATGTTCCTTACCAAATGAGGATTTCTTTTTGATTTTGCATAACTGAATAGCATATCAGTCCTTTCATCATTTGAATGCATCTTTGATATGTTCATAAACGTCTGACAGTTCTCAACAGATATCAACAACGCATTTATTTTTCCCGCCATAAAAACCAAGCAAAGCTTATGTGTTTAAGGCGGTAAATGAATTGGATGCTATTTGATCATATCAAATTACACAATTATCAGATTTTGACCAAAAACTGATATTTTCGTTACTTTCAGGATTGAGAATTATAAAAATATCACGTATTAAAATTGATTAGGGAGAAATAAGCCTTGAAAGAAGGATGACGGCAATACAAAAGTTTCCAAATCGAAAAAGTACGAATTTTCATTGTATCAGGGTACCTACCTGTCGGATTTATTGGGTTGTCTGAATTATATTTTGAAGGAATCAAAACAATTCACAAGAGAAGTAACGACAGGACCGTAAAAAAAATGGTTGTCACAGATGATGATAGTTATTTCAAATGTAACGCTATAAAAATATCGAATGTGATATACACTTGGATTGTGAATTTATCGCTTTATCAATACCTGTAATAAAAAAGACAGGTCCATATTCAAAAAAAAAGTTTATCGAATATTTATTATTACATCGTCATAGTATACTTCGAAAACAATAACATTTTTGGTTTTTTCCGTATAACTCGAGAAGGGCGAGAGTCCCCGTAAATTTTCTTCGACCATTGTACTGTTCCCGATGACTGTCACCTTTTTTCCCATTCAGTCGTCTTCGTATCTGTTACGGTTTAGTTTAGAATATAGCAATGTTACCACAAGACAAAAGAAACGACCGGTATGTATTTGTCCGTTTCCATTGGTATACTTTAAACTGTAATATCTCAGTAAATACCTACCAGTAAATACGGTATCCGATGAAGTCGAAGAAGGCCGTTTTTGCCTGGTCCTGATTAGCGAAGATTCTACCAATGAGAAAGTTATCGAAGTATTTGGAAAGATTGTAGTCGGTCGCGGAGACGTCTGTGGAGTATGGTGGATGAGACAGAATTTCGACGCTTGATTTTCAGATGGTAACTTGCGAGGATCGGACTTTCTCTGTTGACCAATGCACATTTGGCATATTTCGTCGATGTTTTCACAATAGGACTCGCTGTACTGGTTTATTCCGCTTGCAGAAAGTTATAGTGATCTAATCAATAATAATAATAATGTTCATTCATGCACCTTTGATACTGTCTGACTAACTGCGTGACATGCAGACAAGCCCTATTAGCCTTGAACAGACAACGTGTTACCTCAGGGCTAGTACTAGGGTACCACCAAGATTTAGCCAAAGCCTCGGTAGATAATAACATTATCCTGAGTTGGTTAAAGGGCACGACAGAAGTAAAGGTAATCGCTTTGCCGGATCAGAGGCACCTACGGCCTGATGACGTCTACAATTGCGGAACCAGCCAAACGTCACACCCATGCTTAATCCCGCAAGAGATGGGATGAAATCAAAGGATGCAATCTTGCCAGGATCACCCTGGGCGACCCTGGGAAGCTGGCGCCGAAGAAATATCTGGCAATGACCAGGAAAAATCTACTCTCAACAGTAGGATTACTCACTGGCCACTGTCAATTAAGGAAATACCTCCACAATATGGAACTAGTGGACACACTAGTCCCATGATACATNAAACTCATTAGCTTGTTACATATATGTTTTGCTTGTGAGTCCCATCATCAGGTGATGTCTATTTGAAGACAATATTGATCTCTGGAAAACATCACTGGAAAAGTTGATGGAGAAAATACCTGATAGAGAACTTTCGAATACCAACGTAGGAAATGATATTTGAGAAAGCTAAAGAGCTACGAACTAAGACAATCTGACATGTCATAATCCAAGTTTTATTAGTAAATTTTCATGCCAAATACGGTTCATCTAGCACAACAGCCCAAAACAAAAGAGTAGATTTTTCATATGTGTTTTCGGAAACCATACTGAAGACTGATTAATATGTAGAAACATTTCAAATATTTAGGAAAGTATTGATTACAGTTTTCTTCATGATTTTCGTTATCACTGTTATTTCAAATAAACCTTACTCTTTCGTTGGTGAAGCCTGAACTCGAATCTTCATACAAAAAAAAGTGAAATTATTTGAATGAAATAAAAAAAAAGGTAGATAAGACAGGTGGTAGAGTCTACAAAACACTGGTGCAATTTCATTAGAAGTACGACAAATTCTTCATCTGAACCAAAAGTTTGTTTGATTACAAGCTGTTTCAGTAGTCGTCTGCCATGAAATAAAATCCAGCTTTATGTTTAATTTAGTGGGGAGAGTAGGCGATTTTTCCCTGAAATCAACTTTGGAGTCGGATGTGAATTGTTCAACAAGTGAGTTTGCTTTTTCTACTTGTTGCTGTTGTATTTGTGCAGTGGTGAAATTGACTTGGTTAAATTTTGATTCATGGCTTCAGCCCCTGACCAGAAATATCTTAAATCATTAGGATGGATAAGCACTACATTTCCAATCCTCAATTTGTGCTGTTCTTTTTCTTCGTTCATTCTCAATTTGCATTGCGAGAGTTACCAGACATGATGCGATTTTTGGCACTAGGATCTTTGTGTCACAGTATCTAGAGAAAATCCTTCTGGGCGATAGGGAGAGATTGAATAGATGGAAGTTCTCCAAATGTTCTATGAAATAACAAAGTTGAAACCTCAATGTCAGTTTCATGTTCCTGAATTTACGTTTTATTTATACTCACAAAATCTATCGACATAGTTGTCGAAAAGTCACCTTGTATTTATGGCAAATTAACTATGTTCTCTCTGATTTCAGATACATGCCACACCGTCGGCCAAACACGATGCTATTCCCCGTAGCAGGGATTCATTTGGAACCCTCTGGGACGGACTGCAGACAGAACCGCTGCAAGATAAGACTCGAAAATCTCTCGAGAGCCTACAGCGGAGGGGCTTATAGATGCGAGATATCCAGCGAAGCTCCTGCATTTCGACTAGCATCGGAAACTCATAACGTGATAGTTGCCGGTGAGTTCGATTCTATTGACAATGATACTATTGGTTTCTGGCAAATTGCCGTTGATTAAAGCGCGGAAACATGGTACTGGCTAGGGCTCCAACGTGCGGAAGTCTAATGACTCTTTGGAGACTATACACAGGGTGTTTCATGAGTCATGGTCCAATCTGAAGGCGATTTCTGATGAAAAATATAACATTTACTCCAATTATTCACCGTTTTCGAATAATTTTTATTCACAAAAAATTTTTTGTACGAAACACAAAAATGTTTTCCAAGAATGTTTCGCAAAACTAAGTAGCAGCTTTGTTGGTCTTTCACTTATACTTATAGTCCCTGGGAGCCTGTTCTGAGAATATAAGCTTTCATGGCCGAATTGGATAGTACCAAACGTTTCGTATGCTTCTGTGGTAGTCATTTCAGGTGATATACGTAATCAAAGAAGAATGTAGTATTTTGAAGATTCAGCAATGATGATTGACTGCAGAACTCTGTGTTCATTCGTGTTCATACTAGTAGGGGGTGGGGTGAGGTTGTTGATAGATGTGCTGCTGGTGAGATTTCGATCAAAGTTCAATTCTAGTTACTGTTGCTCTAGTGATCCTACTAGTCTATTGACTTGAATACTTTATTTTATTCACGCTTCGTTCGGTAGTGTCGAGGGAACTAAGCCAGAAACAGGTAATCCTGTTAACGCCGGCGGCTGACATACGTTCTTTTATTTTGTCACTGTGTTTCTAATGCGATTCGTGATACCAGCGTTAATGACGCACATCGTAAAATTAGTCTGTAGTTCGAAAGGGCAAAAAAATCCCAGTATTCAGTGGAAAATTCACGATAATGTGTTACTTGAAGACAACGTTTCAAGTTTTATGTTGATCCGATGTATGCTTTCTATCCATGATTTGCAGATATATAAAATGTGAATGCCTGAGGAAGTAAGAAATTGGCTAAATCTTTATTCTTGAACTAGAACAAAAACCTGTGATATTCCAAAATCACTATCTTCACTCAACAGGACATTCTGCGACTCCAGTAATAATAATAAGTAATAATAATAAGGTTAATTCACATTGAACAACATATAAATACATAAAAAATATGTATATATGAAGACAGTAACAAAATAAGTTTAATATAAGAGAACAAGTATCAAATATAAAGTCGAAATTATAATTATGGCGAAATCTGGAATTTGACATAATCGATAAAAAATGGATTATCTAACACCTATGTATCTTTGTATCAAAACAACCACGATACTATTAATCACATTCAAATTCTAAGGTTTTTTTCTCAACTCAGTTATATTTGAGTCACAATCCGGTTAATTTTACATTTTTGGGGTAACGTCGTTCAATACTGGATAATANATCACTCCTAAAAATATAACCCTTTCAATTCTAAAGAAGTGATGTCTCAAGATTAGATCCTTGGAGCACTCCAATGAACATTTGAAAAGAAACCATTATGAAAGACATACTGCTTTTTTCACTCAGATACGGCGGTGTTTTCATGATTGGAAAAATCATAAGTACAGCTACCGAACTGAGTCATGGCCGGTGGGAGAAATCTTTTCTGCGTAGAGTTCAGTACGGTGTATGATGAAGAAAGTATTAGGAATAAATAGAGTTTGAAAAACTAAAAAACACGCTTTTAAAAAACATCGAACTAAAAAGTAATTTTTTTTTAATAAGCTTAAAACAATAATGCACGAAAAATACTAGTATTATTGTGAAAAAAGCGTGGGTGCTTTGTGCCATATTTTTTGTATATGAAGCGTTCGTTGCTTTGTTCACAATAATACTAGTATTTTCCGTTCGTTATTATTTTAAGCTTATTTAAAAAATATATTTTCAACTTTTCATTTCGATGTTCTTTGCAAGCGTGTTTGTTTAGAAAAATGATCATTGATATTTGCCGATTCTGGAGAGGGAGCCTGAAAATCATCTACCAGGCCCAAGGCAGCAGGAGCGCAAAGCGGGGATACAAATAAAGCAGCAGGCACGCGTGTTAATAAAAAAAAAATCAAATGAAGAAATACATGTAAAGTGAGTTCGTATTATATCAAGAAGGTTACGTACAGCGCCATCTGCCCGCGAATAGATCAAGCAATAGTGTCGATATATCAAGGAAGTTACGTACAGCGCCATGTGCCCGCGAAAAGATCAAGCAATAATTTCGATAATTCTGTCAAATACGGATCCCGTGCTTGAGAGTTACAAACAAACAAGCAAACAAACAAACATATATACATACAGGTGAAGCTAATAAAAGCATGTTAAAACAAATACTTTTTTCAAATTCGTAGCTTTTTATCTACCACCAGTATCCTACCACACAAACAATCGGGATTCAGAAAAGAGTATAGTTGCGCAACTGCCCTTGCCGATGTTGTGGACGACATCTTAGAGGAAACTGACAAAAATCAAATGAGCATACTAATTCTACTTGACTATACGAAATCATTCGATTTGATAGATCACGACATTCTTTTATCAATGTTACATTACTTTAGATTCAGCAATTCAGCACGCTCCCTGACGGCTTCGTATCTGCACAATAGAACACAAATTGTAAAAATCAATGATGAGAAATCCACTCCCATGAAGTTGCGTTGTGGAGTACCTCAGGGTAGTATTCTTGACCCTCTATTATTCACAATATATACTTCTAATTTTATGAACGTTTTGAAATACTGTAACTACCATTTTTGCGCTGATGATACCCAGATATATTTTTCAATCAATTTTTTGGATCTGGCAATAGCCATCAATTGTATTACCACCGATCTTGATTCCTTACATAAATTATCAAACGATCATGCTCTGAAAATCAATCCAAAAAAATCTGTTGCCATGATATTTGGCAAAGAAAATATATCACACTCATTAAATAATCAAGTCGTCTTGAAAATAGGTGATACGGAAATACCTATCAAATCTTCTCATAAAAATTTGGGACTAATAATACATACATCTATTCGTTCCACAGAACATATTACGAATAAACTGAGGAATGCATATTCACCTCTCAAGCTGACGAATAGATCAAGCAATAATGTCGATAATTCTGTCAATTATGAAATGAAAAGGAGAGTTACAAACAAACATACCTACATACATACAGGTGAATCTAATATAAAGCATGTAAAAAAGGAATAGAAAGTTTTGTTTGCAATTTTACGTAGTACAAATCAAGGGGTAAACAATAAATGGATATTAAAATGTCATTTGGGTTCTTGTAGATATATGAGAAGCAGTTTATGTTAAGGCAAATCTTGAGGGAGGGGCTTCTCTGTACTTTTCAGTGTATTTGTGAATTACGTTCGTGATAATTTTATCATGAAGAATATTTTCACAAATTAACAAAAGACAGATATCTAGCAAATGTACTCTTCACCGTGCCGGCATATGTTACTCAAAACAAATTGAAGGAAACCTCAGCTGATGGCATAACATGCTTATCCTCCATAAAGATGAAGCGCTCTCATCACAAGTGATCCGCACGAAGAGGCGATATATACGATACTATATCCCAGATCATGTTACTCAACGCGACGTGTATGAAGGAGATAAATATTTTCCGTACACTGTGAAACTTCACATATGGGTGTGATGAACGTTTATAAAGATATATTCCACAAAACAAACGAACATTGAGCATATTTATAGCCGCAACAACCCCAACACAAAGTTACGTTTACACTTCATATATTATCCTTCGCAACTGTTGGTTAGTAGCGCCAACAACTCTATATTTTCATGAAGTTCTGAATTCCCCATATTAGTCTTGTTCACGTAACAAATGCCATTTCACATATATTCAGTTCGCGTTAATCGAAAATTGTAATTGAGATATTATTCGATGCGTAATTTCACAAATTGTAATTTAGTATTTTAACCTAACTGCCATAACACATTCAAAAGTCATGAACAGTTCATTTGAACAAAAAAGAGGAAATCGTTTTCTGTGAATATCTCGAAAATTTTTCAGGTATTCAAAATTTGAAAAAGCTTCAAAACGAGCAGAAAATTCAGTATAGCCAGGGCCGTCGCCATGGGAGGATGGGGGGGGATCCCCCATGATTTTTCGACTTGGGAAAAAGTTGGGAAATTTTGGGCCATGAAGATAGAAAAGAATAATAGTAAAAATATGAATAAACATTAAAAAAATAAAAATGAGAGATAAGAAAAGGAGAGGTAATAAGAAAAGGGAAAGAACCAGGAGGAGGTTGGGATTTCCCAACATGCATAACTTGAAGAGAATTCTGAGTTGTTTAAAATCTTCAAAAAAGTTTAATTTCTCCCAAGTAAGAGAACAGTCCTTTACAGTCCACAAATTTTGAAGTGACAATTTTACAAAATTCCTAACTTTTCGCTGTTTTTCCGACTTGGAAAAGTTGGGAAATTTCGGGCCGTGAAGACAGAAAAAATAATAGAAGAAAACAATAAACACAATATTATTTAAGTGTTGTTTCCTTTCATTTGTATTGAATATTCCTATACATGGTGGATATGGTGGAAGACCAAGGACAAAAATTATATTATTATGATATATTCATTTTTCATTCTCATTATTGAAATGTTAACAGAAAAATACAGTATTCATGTAGATACTAATTGTTTTCTTAATCTGATAATCTGTCAATTGAATATTATTTGAGAAAATTGAGATGAACAATTAATGTCAATTGAAAAGAACCATTTATTTGAAAAAATAATTATTTTCACTACTTTTAGGTGTCTTTTTTTTCCGAAGATTTGAGAATTGAACAACCGTAACTTTGTGACATTTTGAATAAAAAAAAATTTAAAAAAGGAAATAATTGAACTGTTATTTTCATGTGTTTTTTTTTACTCACGAAAAAATTAGTGTGAAAACTTATATGGTCATAAGAAATTGGCCATGAAACGGCCCTGATTGAGCGTCCAGGGAAAATTGGCTGGTGACAGGAAAAGTGGTAAATTTGAAGAAAATCAAATAAACCATAAAGTCATTCCAACTCTAA